ATATATTGAAACATTAATCTAGTGTTGAACAAGCATAATTGTCAATCAAGAAATTGCTGCTTGCATATGGTGATTTAGGAAGAACATCACCCCAGAAAACTGCTGATCTTGGCCTAGAGTTTGTTCCTTGGCTTGTTCAAGCACTGATGGCTGTTGTTCAGGAGCAGCAAATTAACAGCAGTTATGCAAGGCATGGAAGTAGGGCAGTTCTAGCTAGCATTGAGAAATAGATGGTGAAAGCCTGATAAAATATAAGCTCTGAATAGCTTTTATATTTAATCTTATGCTTGTAACAGCTTTAATAATTTCTTTTAAAAAGTGAAGATGAACTCGGAACGTGAGTGTGCAGATTGCTGGGGAGACATCAGCTTTGGCTCCGCTGCGTTTGTGGAACCAGGAGGAGTTACTGCCACAAGTCTTAATGTGTCAGCAGGAGCTGTTGATGTTAAAAATCATCCCGTGTCTGTATCCTTCAACTCTTTTGCAACGGTTTAGGTAAGTTGGCAGCTTTTGTCAAAAAATTAAGAGGAAGAGAGCGAGAAGTTACAGTTCTGGCACACAGCGGCTGCAGATGGCCATAAGCAGTGGCTTAGGGAGAGGTGGGAATCGCTCTTTTTCAAAGGGGTGTCAACACCACCGTGAAAATTTAAACACAGTGTGATTTCTGCTTGCTGAAGGTCAGTGCGGCAGCATCTGCAGTTATCCTGAATCGGTGGGTGGTGCTTCTGCTGAGTGAGACCATTTCTCTCCTGCCAAGGGACACCTGGAAGTTATTTGTGAGCAAAGGGGGGAAAGCTTCAACAACTTGTATGAACTCAGCTCCCAAACCACTTGTGTATATATTAAAAGAAAAAAAAAAAATCCGAAACAAGTCAGGGGAGCAGGATTATTGAGAAAACAATTCAACCCCTGAAAGGCCAGGCACATCAGCAGTAAGCCCATTCTGCAGCGCGACTTGCTGCTGTGCAGCTGAGGACAAAGCATCGGAGCCATCCTTCTGTGCTGCTGCCCCACTGCTTGCTTTAGGAGAGACGTGCCTCGGCTTTGTTTGGATGCTGGAATGCCCTTGAAATCAAAATCCACGGAGATTCAGTGGGCTGGAGACACATCTGTGTTCGTCACAACCTTGTCTGATGAGATGCTGTCATCTGCCATCTCGATGGCAGTCAGCACTGTGGGCACTTCCCAGACAGTGGAGGTGCTTGGTCTGATTCTCCTTCCCTTAGCACAGAATTCATCTCTGTGCATCTGGAAAGAGAGCAAGCTCCCCAGGTTCACACTTAGGCCAAGCATGAAAAAAACAAAGCAAAGATTCAGCAGCTTACTGTCATTCAGACAGGCAAAGCTCACACCAGAGAAAAAAATCCCTGTGCTCTCTGGGTGAGTGCTTATCGTTCCTGGAGTTGGCACAGCAGAGCAGAGCTGCACATGCTTCAGAAAGCAAAGTAATTAATTCTCCTTGCTCCCAGCCACAGCAGTCTCTGTTGTGCAACGTTGCACCACAACCAGCCATGGAGAAACTTTCTTTCCAATCAAAAGAAGTATTCTTTTTTTTTTCTTTTTTTTTGCTCTGACACAGCAGGGTTGGTCTTCCTTTTAGTGTTACTGAAGACAATGTCTGCCTTGCCTTCCCATGACCTTCAGTGTGTGGCTTCATATTAAAATTTCCATCTTCCTCATTCAAACACTGGCATTTAAACAAAAAAAAGATTAAAATTCCTTTTGTTTAAATCCCTAAGAGCACGCTGCTGGTGAGATGCTGGGGTCCAGACTGGCTTGTGCTTCTGGCTCTGCTCTGGTCACCTGGGCTCTGGCACTAGCATGGATCTCAAACCCATGGACTCTTAATCTGGATGCCTGTGTTTCTGGCTGTTTGCCCAGCTGTGGTTCAAGCCTGTTCATAGCTGGACTAGAGAACAGGCTTGGAGCTTGCTTTTCCCCAGCCTGGGATGAGTCTCTTTTCTGTCATGGCTCCAGAACTGTCAGTGCCCTCTTTCTTAAGGTGTCAGGGAAAATTTTTCACTTGGAGGATGGTGAGACACTGGCACAGGCTGCCCAGAGAGTCTGTGGTGCCCCATCTCTGGAGCCATTCAGGGCCAGGTTGGATGGGGCCTTGGGCAGCCTGATCTGGTGGGGGGCAGTTCTGCCCATGGCAGGGGGTTGGAAGTAGGTGATCTGTAAGGTCCTTTTCAAGCCAAGTCAGTCTGTGTTTTTGATGCAGCTGCTTCAGGTGTGCTCCCCAGGGTCTGCCTTACCAAGCTGTTCACTCTGTCTCTGCGTGTGTCATGGTATCGACTGATTCAGTTCAGGGGTAACTCCAGGTTGTGGCAGAGCTCCTTGGCTTTTCAGAGCCAGCTTCCTCATCAGTATCCTCTTTTTACCTTGAGGTGAATTTGGGAGAGCTGGGCCTGGACCCCTGAGGAGTCAACATGACCCATAAGGTGGGGCGGTAGTTGGCATGAATCGTGAATTGAAGCTATAACCAACTCAAATGAAGGTAGATGTTCTTGGGAGCAGAGCTGAATTTCTGTGAAACTTTGGCTGTGATCTCCCTCGTGTCATTGCCTCCTGGAAAGGACTTTGTGAGAAAGAGTAAAGAATGCTGGGCAGGAAGAACTGGATACAAATGATACAAAACAACAATAATAATAATTTTTAAAAAGTATGAAGAGAGAGATTTTGGGTATAAAGAAGTTTCATGGCTATCCTGTTTACTTTGCCCAAGCCAATTTGCTGGCAGTATTTACAGATTTATATTCAAGACCCATAAACCTCATTTGTAGATTTCCATTAATTACTGATCAAATGACTGTGGAAGTCCTTCATTTCATTGATTCCAGTGGTCTTCCATCTTTCTCTGTTTTGGAGAACAAAAAGCTTCCTTTCCCTATACTTCCCTCGCTGCATGGATACCACACTGCCTTCTGCTACAACACTGTGTGTGCCTTTATAGTTCTTTTTCTCCCATTTAAGAGTGTCTTTTTGCTACTGAACATTAGCAAGGGCTACTGGGAGATGATGGGCAAATTTGCAATGGTAAAAGTCTTGAATGCTACTTATTCAAATTCAATGCATAAGTATTATTTATCTTGGTTGCTGTTTTACCTGTGTAATTCTTTAAATTCTGAATTCTCAGTGTGTAACTGCTATGGTCATAATCACTCAGAACCTATGCCTTGGTCTGCAGCAGTCCAGAAAGTACTGAGCTCCTGTTCTGGTGGTGATCCCTGCATCTGCAGTGTTGCTGTTGCATGCAGCCTCCCTGCTTCCCTTGCCAGTTGGTTTAAGTGATACTTCCAAAGGTTCACACCAGGGATTTGAAGTTAAAAACAGCGCCCCTGGCTTGGTGGAAAAATGGAATTTTATTTAAATGCTGACGTTTCTGCCCTGAAACTTTCCTCCCTCTGAAATTCTCAACTCTGAGGGTAGCAGATGGGACTGTTATTTCCCAAGCACTCCTGCATGACGTGTGCAACTAAAATGTGTCACAAGTAATTGCTGGGACAGAGATGCTTGGTGGCACATTGCAGCCCTACTGCAGTTGGAAAAATGAGTGCACAGCAGCTGAGCATTGCTGACTGGCTCTCAGCGCTCCTCAGCTGATGGCAGGCAAGAGGTGCTCACATCATCCTTTCCTGGACAGAATTGAAAAACCACACAATCCAATTTATCAGCGTTTGGAATCAAATTAGTGCCACAATGCAGGTCAAAGTTTAAAACTGGCATTTTCTGTGCTGGGTGTTTTTTTGCATCATTGTCGAGGGGATACTCACAGCACGTGTCCTCTGGCAGGAAACCTGCTGCTTCTAACTCTAAGATGGGAATTTTCCTGCCTAGTGCCCAGATCAGGTGTTTGTTTTGTTTCCTTTAAACATATGGAAACCTTCAGCCAAAAAACCTCTCAACCACTTCCATAAAATCAGGCTAACCAATTTGGCCTGCAAGAGAAATTCCAAGCAGCATTGATTTTGGAAAGCTCCAGTGCCTTGCAGGGGAATTACTGCAGAAGGTTAATGGCTGTGCCAGTGCTGCTTTTCATCATCCCTAGAAAAAAACCATCAAAATTTGATCAAACTATAAGCCACTGATAGCAATTGCATGTTCCTCTATATGATAAGGCTGAGTACATAGTGAATTTCCATGGATTCTCTGGTGTCTATTGACAGGGGAGTTGTCAAATCCCGGTGGGCTCTTCAAGCAGTCTGGTCACCATTGTTCTGTGATCTCTGCCCAACACTTCCCAAATGCCCCAATTCAGCTTCTGGCTTCCTCAGGCAGAGCTGTCAGGTGCCCACCTTGCTGAGAACTGATGCAGGAGATACAATTTGACTGGTTTTTGTCTTTTTGGGCCCAGACAGAACAGCAGCGTCATTATTGAAGAAGAGGAATGTTGGTCTTCATGCCCTTCCACTGGCAACAGTGGTAGTTTGGCATCAAACTCAAAGCAGCTCATCCTTTGGCGAGATGCTCCTCATGCTGAGTGTGATCATCTGGAATTTGTTCTGCAGGCAAGGTGAGAGCATGAGGTGCAGTCAGGTCAGTGGTAGTCCCATAATATACAATAAAAATGCTAGAAAAGGTCAAGCATAGCAAAAAAAAACCCTGTGGTTGGTGGCTGTTTTCAACCATGTTCTGCATTAGGAGGACCTGGATGTGCCTTTGCTTCAGTTTCCTGGCTGTGAGAGGGATCAGTGCCCTGTCACTATGCTGCTTGCCATCCTGGAAGCTCTTCAGCCATGGTGGAGTCTTGTGCTGCAGTGACATCAGCCACAGAAAAACCTGGAAAAAAACAAAGAACTATTTTCAAAGCAAGACCTGAATAATGGCAGTAGGAGGCAAACAGTGGCTTGTTTCTGATCACCATAGAGCCTTAGAATTATTCGAGTTGGAAGGGCCTTTAAAGGCCATCTGGTCCCACACCCTGCAATGAACAGGGACACCTACAGCTAGATCAGGTTGCTCAGTCTGTCCAGCCTGACCTTGAATGTCTCCAGGGATGGGAATCCACCCTGTCTCTGGGCAGCCTGTTCCAAGCGTCTTATTGAACAGGCAGGAAAGTTGTGTATGCATGTAAAGAAAGAACAGCCTCATGTCAGCGTACAAGGAGACATCAAGAAAGCATGGATTGCTTCATTCAATTCATTCCTGTCTTCTGAGTGTGGGTTTTTTTTTTTTTTTACAAGCAACATCATTAAAAATAAAATAGCATAGCACAAATGCCTGCCCTAGACAGGCCTTGTAGAGGGAAGGCAGAGTGCTGCACAGGGAAATCCGTCAGCAGCCTGCTTCCATCCATGTGCAATGAAATTCTGTGCCCAAGGACATCCCCGGTCACTGCAGAGCACAAACAGCGCCCTGATTGTGCCTTGCCCTCTCCTGGAGACGCAGTCGCTGTGGCATTCCTAATTATAATGAAGCCTGCTTCTGGTGCCCGTTTTGCAAACTTGCTCAGGCATCCACTTGAAAGCAGTGCTCGTGCAGCACTGGGATGTTCCTAAAGAGGAAACAGGATCAGTTTTCTGTGATGAACCTTTGCATTTGAAGTCTTGGTCCCAACCATGACCTGCTCATACAAACCCATCTGCTTCCATCTGAGGCTGGCGAAGTTGTACTGTTTTGCAAGCAAAGTTTGTTTGCTGCAGGAGAGCCCCGACTTTGTTATCTCTGCAATAACAATTTCCAGGGCTTCCACTGTTGCTCTGGCTGAATTGCACCGATCTTCCAGGGCCCTGGTCTTGGCCCCAACCCCACTGTGACTGGTGCTGTGCTAACACTGAAAGCACAGGTGGGTCTTGTTCTGCTGAGAGCTCCTGAGATCCATGGAGCACTGCTGGTTAAACAAAATAGGTCAGCACTCCAGACACACATCCTTACACGCACATTAGCCAGGAGAGACGCAAACTGGAATATTAAGCTGCCAAGAGGCTGTTCAAAACTGTGCACAAGGGCAATTAAAATATTAGCATCCTTTCATGTAAGCAAAGCAAGCAGAAGTGGCAATTAGATTCTGTTACAACTTGCAGCCCCAGAGGAAAGGCATCAGAGACATTTTCTCTTTTGCCACCTGACACTTGCATCCATCCACCCGACAGCCCATGTGGGGACCTATGGGGCTGTGGGGGAAATCCAGCTCCACCAGGCAGCGTTGCCCTGGGCTGCCTCGTATACTGCTGTGGTCAGTGGCACAGCCCAGGTATGTGCTCACCAATAGGCCGCAGGTGCTGCTGAGCAGCGGGGTTCTTTCCTTGCCTTAAATTTCAGCCACAGTGCTGCTGCAGCACACACAGGGGTAAGGGACTCCCCTGGCACAGCCCTGTGCCCTGGCATGGCACCTCTAGATGCTGGTATCGTAGACGCTGCTCCCAAACCCTGCAAGTACCCCAAGCAGGGGACAGAGGCTTGGTTCCCCATTCCCAGGCACTTTCATGTGGGAAACAACAATCTGACGTCAGGAAACCAACTATCTGCAGTGGGCCGAGCCATTCATTTTCATCTGGCTGGTGTTTGCTGATTACCACAAACCCAAATTGCAGCTCTGAAGCCACCAAGCTCCTGTTTGCAGTGCAGAGTGGGAAGAGGCCAACATTTGTTTTCAATTAAGAAAAAAAAAGAGACGAGAAAAAGGTTACCAAAATGTCTAGCCTTTGTTTTATTGAGTTACAACAAATGAGCAACAAGTTAGAAAAGTAGGATTTATTCAAACTCCCTAGCATTGTACTTGTGCAGTGTGCTGACACAGGGGTAGGGCTGGGCAACGCAGCCAGCTTGCGCTCCCGCACCCACGCTGCTCCTCCTCAGACCCGCACGCAGACACCCACACAAAGGAAAACTAGCAGTACTTGAAAACAAGTGCACTCAGGGATCTAGAACTGATCTAACAATTTAGTGGCAAGGGTTAATTGGAAATGTCAGTTGTGTGCTACAGCTTCTAGAACCGGAGGATGGACGTTTGTTTCTGTTGTCCATCTCTGTGCCAGCTGAAGAAAGGCAAACAAGTTCAGGTTATGAAGCATCATCGTTTTGTCACCCCAACCCCTCTGGGGGTTTTACTACGTGTTCAAACAAAAAGTGCTAAAATCAAACAAACAAACAGAAAAAAAAAAAAAAAGAAGGTGTTCCAGCAAGATCATCGGAGAGCTGCGGCCCAGCCCTCTTTGTGAGGAGTGGAGCACGGGAGCTGGAGAAGGCGCGCTTCAGAGGAGCACAGGAAAGCAGAGATTTAAATACTTCAGTAGCAGATGGCCATAAAACAAAGTCAAAATGGGAAAAAAAACCCAAAGCCCCAACCGAACCAGACCGACCCAACCCTCCCCAAACCCATAGCGCACTGTGTGGGCTGAAATGTAAACGGCTGTGGGGTGGGAATCCAGGATCGGATGTTGATTGGCACCAAAGAGATTCCAAAAAATTGCAAAACTTTCTTCAAAGGCTTAAGAGAGGCTGTGGGCTCTCCTCCCTGGAGGTCTCCAGAAGCCACCTGGAAGAGGCTATAGGCTCCCTGTTCTGGGTGTCCCTACTGGAGCTCAAGGTAGGTCATGTGGACCCCAAGGTCCCTGCCAGCCTCAGCCATAATGGGATTCAGTGATTCAGAAAAGATCTCCTCTCCCTCCTCCCCACAAAACACACTTCCCTCCCCATAACCAACCCTAACATTTTCCCATGGCATTGTATGCAAGAATAACTCGCACTATTAAAAAGTTAACAAAATTTCCACATTGTACAAATCTGTTCCAGTACAGGAAGAGACTGGGCAGGAAAGTGGGTAGGAAAGAAGCTGAGGAGTAACCTATATACAAGGACCCTTTTCTCTTTCTCTCTTTTCTTTCTCAATGCAGTAGTAGGACTTTGGCACTATAACAACCCCACGACGACGCTCCACCAGAGGATTTCTCACTGTGCCTCCGCAGGCACGATTTGAGACGTGGAGCTGCAACACGCAGTCTCACCCCAGGCAGGAAAATAGATGTTCTATTTCCAGACAGAATTTCCCCTTCATTGTCAGGACAGTGCAGCTGATGAGTATCCCTGCAAAAGATTAAAGAAACGTATTACTTTAAAAGGCGTTCTGAACAAATACTTGAGCTGTCAGCTAACATAGCATCCAACTTTCACTCTTGAGGATGCACGCAGTGGCACTGCATTTGGTAGGAACCACACCCTGAAGCCGATCCCTATTGTAGCCTGATGCTGCAGGAGGATGCCAGGTTGGTTCTGTGGTACCAGCACCCTGATAATACCCCATGCTGATGGGGACACACAGCCCAGCCTTGCCTCTTGCTGATCCCTTGCTGCCACAAACCCCTCGGGCAGAGCCTCACACTGATGGAGCAGATAGGGACAGAAGGCAAGGCCTCTCCATTGGGGATGATTTTCAGCATGGTTTTCCCCACTGAGCAAAGTGTGAGAGTACAAGAAGTGCAAGCACTCGTGCTGAAGCTGCATGCAGCAGCACAGGGTCACTCCTCTGCACCCATGCTCACCATAACCCTTATTTCACACCTTTTATGAAGGCTGCTCTGTTACCTCCCGCAGAAGCAGAGGGCTCTGTCTGGCACCCACAACTCCTATGTCAACAGAAAAGGCAAAATCCTCCCTGTCCCAGCAGCCTTTTCTCAGACAACCCCCTGCTCCTTCTAAAAAAGCTGAGAATGTTTAATGTTGCTTTGGTTTTGCTTCTCCCTCTGAAGTCCTTCATTGCTGTTCAGCCTGTGTCTCCAACATGGCTTACTGCTTTCAGGGGAAATGGCGAGTCAGCTTTAGCTCTGCAGAAACCACTGGGAAGTCCCACAGTGCCTTCAGGATGCCCAATCTAGGCAGCAGGCACTGCAGCCATCGTTATGGATAGAACATCGAACCATAAGAAAAATGGGAACTTGAACAGAAAGTAAGGGAAACTCCAGTGCTGGTGGCTCTTAACTATCTCAGACACTGAGGAATGTGCAAAGTCACCAACAACTGACCTGAGCTCCCACGGTGGAAAGAGCTGAGGACGCTGGCAGAACCCAGACCCACTGATGCTCATCAACATGATGCAGCAGGAATAAAAATCATAGAACTACAGACTATCCCAAGTTGGAAGGACCCACAAGGATCACTGAGTCCAACTCCAATTGGACTCCACACACCACCCAAAAATCAAGACCCTATGTCTGAAAGCATTGCTCAGACACTCCTTGTACTCTGGCAGCTCGGGGCTGTGCCCACTGCCCTGGGGGGGTTGTTCTGTGTTCACCACCATCTACTGAAGAACCTTTCTCTGGGGCTTTGTGGCATGCAGTCCCAGATGTAGCTGTCCTTTGGCACATCTCAGCACAGCTCCTGGAGCTGTAGAATGTACCCTGTCACAGGTGTCACAGCTGCACAGTGCAGCAGAGATACTTCAGGACATTGTATGCTTCTATAGCTATAAAGAGCATTTTCTTCTTTGCTCATTCCCACCATAAACTACAGACTTTGGTGTCTGCACCTTGCAGGGCTGGGGCAGATGGAAGGTGTGGGAACAACTCTGAAACAGCAGTTTTTTGGTGAAAAAGTAAATTTTCTGAGGAAAAACAAAAACTCTGGTCTGAGGAAATCTTGGGAAAACCCCACAGGGAGACAACGCTGTGAAGAAAGCCAGCAATGGCTGCCAGCCCGTTTCTGCCCCCATGGCTGAGCTGTGATTCTTTACTCAGAGGGTGATGAGACACTGGCACAGGCTGCCCAGAGCAGCTGTAGATGCCCCATCCCTGGAGGTGTTCAAAACCAGGCTGGATGGGGCCCTGGGCAGCCTGAGCTGGATGGGTGGCAGCCAGCCCATGGCAAGGAGTTGGAAGTAGATGATCTTCAAGGTTCCTTCCAACCTAAGCCAATCTATGATTCTATGATTTGATGGATATAACATAAGGCCAGTTTCTATTCAACCAGCTTGCACAAATGGTGAGAAGAGAGCTGATTTTGAGCCATGCTGTCAGAAGGCAGAAATCTCCACTGATGGATGTGAAGCAAGGCACCCTACTGGTACACAAGGGATATGAGACTTCATTATGCAGCACCAGGAGCATTTGTAGTGACGGCTTGCTGCAGCCACTCAGCATCATGAAGGCACCATACGGAAACAGGGCTAGTGTTCAGGACACGTGATCTTGCTCCATGGAATTCATGTGACTTGCAAAAGCTTCAAGCAGGCAGAACTGTCCCTAGAAGTCTTCAAGAAGCACAGAGATATGGCAGTGAGGGACATGGTTCAGTAGGCATGGTGGTGATGGGTTGATGGTTGGACTGGCTGATCTTAGCAGTCTGTTCCAACCTTAATGATTCTACAATTCTAAACATAACAGATTTTATCAATCTGCGAATGAGATTTCAGAGTCATGTGTGAATTCTGCTCCACTGAGGTCAGGTGGCCACAAAAGTCTCACCAGCTGCAACAGAAGCAGCAACCACTGAACACACATCACTTTAGAAGAACCCATTTTCTAAAGCATGAGGTGCATTTAGGCTGTAATGCAAATACACCCTAATGGCTTCTAGAACTACATGGAGAAACAAAGAGACCTGAAAAGTTCTGCAGCAGTTCAGGTTTTACAGAATCTGCACATGAATTCCTGCCACAACAGAAGTATGGAGACTGAATGCAGAAAAATGTTCACTTTAAAGTGTGCATGGCAGGCTGAGAACATAACAACAAAGGAGCATTTCTGCACAATGTGATGTTCAGCAGTGGAAGTTTCACATCGTGGCTGTGGCTGTGCAAGAATCAAGAGGAGGAGAAGTTCCCCTGTCAGCAGTTCAGCACTCGGCAGTGCCTCCTGCATGCAGCCAGGATGGTAACGTTACCCCTCCGAGGTGCTGAGGGCTGTGATGTGAGGAATAATTAGACTTCTATGTAAGAACAAGCAGGAACAATCTCATCTTCAAGCCTCTTGGTCTTTCAGCCATACTCTGGATGTCACCTAAGACAATGACCTGTTAGTTCAACTCCAAAGTTATAGATAAAAATTAAGGAAGACAGTAGATAGCCTTCACTAAACTGAGAGTAAAAATCTATCCTGAAAGAAAAAGCAGATGGATTTTTCACTCTTTCCATCAATGCAGAGAATAAAGCTCCCATCTTACATGTCACCATGGCTGGTCCCATATGGGCACCAGAAAGCAGGTGTCAGCAATTCTGGGCTGAGATGTGCTGGGAGAGTAAAGCAGAACAAAAGAGAGAAAGGCTTTGGGCCTCTGTCCTGCAAAATGGTCGTCTGAACTTCCTGAGTGACCCATACGGTGAAAACCCTGCTCTGGTGCACCTCTTCTCAGCAGGTGCATTTTACAGCCCTTCCAAAGCTCCTCACCAAAAGAATAAACTGGTGGAAGTTTATTGCAAATTCCTGTTAAAGTTCATCTCTGATGGCCCTTGGGCCCCCGTCCAGCTGTGGAGCTCCATGGTCAGCACCAGCGTGCAGCACGAGAGCTTTGTGAGAAAGCAGTCCAAGGTCCCCTCCTCTGCTACAGGATCATAAATCAAGGTTGAAAAAGGCCACCAAGATCATCTAGTCCAAACATCCACCTACCACCAGTATTACTCATTAAACCTTATTTCTCATGGTAACATCTCCACATTTCTTGACTTCCAGGGACAGTGACTCCACCACCTCCCTGGACAGCCTGTTCCAATGCCTCATCACTCTTCTGAGAAGAATTTTTTCCTAACATCCAACCTGAACCTCTCGTGGCACAACTTGAGGCCATTGCCTCTCATCCCATCGCTGTTACCTGAGGGAAGAGGCTGACCCTCACCTCACCACAGCCTCCTTTCAGGGAGTTGTAGAAAACAATAAGGTCTCCCCTGAGCCTACTCTTCTATGACTGAAGAATCCCAGTTCCCTCAGCTGTTCCCCATAAGATTTGTGCTCCAGACCCTTCACAGCCTTGTTACTCTTCTTTGGACACACTCCAGGGCCTCAATGTCTTTCTTGTAGTGAGGGGCCCAACACTGAACACAGCACTCAAGGTGTGGCCTCACCAGAGCTGAATACAGACGGATGATCACCTCCCTGCTCCTGCTGGCTGCACTATTTCTGCTAAATGCCATGGGCAACACTGGGCAACACCGCCGTCTCACGTTCAGCCAAACACTGACCAACACTCCCAGATCCTTTTCCTCCGTGACGCTTTTCAGCCTCTGGGTCTGCCCCCATTACCAAGCCTCACTCACAGCCCATCTCTCTCCTCAGTTACATTAGTGTAAGTATCTATAGCTGAAACAGCAAAATGATGTGCAATAACAAACATAAAAAAAATAATAATAAAAAAATAAAAATCCGACAGTGCATTTATTAATCGCTCATTTAATTAAAAATACCAGATCAGAACCGAGCTTTTGTTTCCTATGTGGCTGCTCCCCATGCACCTCTGCAGCACCAGCACAGCGACAAGAGATACTCCTACCTCTATGCAGCCAGCACAGACTGCTAAGAGAAATCTACACATCTGCAACATGGAGTGGTTCAGTCCCAGCACTAACTCTTCAATAGCAAATGGCCTTAATGCAAGTGTGGAGACCTCTACCAGTCCTCGCTATTGTATTTCCTTTTCAAAAGTTTTAAAAATATTGAAGTACCTTACACTTGTTAGACATCGGGGGACTATCACTTCTTTCTGAAAGATGTGTTCTTTAATTGTCAGTGCTGTGCTTTCTGTTGGGTAAATCCTAGCTTAAGAAGACCAAGCTCAGGAGAGACAAGATCTGATCCTGTACATCCTCATACATGCACAAAACATTAAAGGTTGGTGAGCTCAGCTCAACACACCATCAAGAAGTGCTGATGATACTTGCTTCAGTTTATACCTAACTGCAATCAGAAACAGACTTCAGGTCTCCAAACAACACATCTTTTCACACTGAAATATCATGTAACACTCCCCTCCTAAAAAAAAAGTGGCCCCGCAGCTTGCTTTTAAATTCAGGATCCTGTGAAGAAAAGCTGCTAAAACACCCACACAGCTTAGTCTGGGGCATTTCCTAAGCATCTATAGAGCAAGCAAGCAGAACAAAGCAGGCTGGAGACAGTTCTCACCTGCAAGAGGAAGAGAGCACATTTGCATCAGCCACTTCATACCCTACAGCATTTTTTTTGCTTGCTGTTGCATACAGAAACATCTCTGGCCCAGGCCCTTCCCCCATACAGCTTTTATTCTGTGTCAAAGGAAGGAGAAGAGGTGCAAAGCAAGGCATGGTCTCTGTTCATGGGAGATCAGCAACCCGTTAGCAAGAGCACTGTTAGGAACTAGTGTCACCTAGTCAGTCTGCATGGCTCCACGGGTATGTTTTACATCAATCTCTGCAGAAGTTACATTTAAAGGCAGACATTTCAGGATTTAATCGATTGATGCAAAAAAAAGGAAAAAAAAAAAAAAAGCCCTTAAATGGGATTTGACCTGCAAGGGGAAAAGGAACCAGGCAAACAGTGCTAACCCCTGCCTACCAAGCAGCTGCTTTCATTTACAGGATGGCCATCCCTTGTGTTCAGGCACCCAGCAGGCACCAGGATTCCAGGTCCAGGGATCTGCACTGAAAAGGGGCTATGGGATGCTGGAAGCGCCCCAGAGTGAGGCCAGTTCTGGGAAGCAGGGCACCCCAAGCATTACCTGTCTATACGTGGGCATTTTCTCCAGATATACTTTCAGTGTCAAAGTCTGCCAGCTCTGCCTGGCCCTCAGGTGCTGCCTGGCTCCACGTGTCCGTGCAGTCTGACGCAGCATCATCCTCGCCCACAGTCACCTCCACCCAGTTGACCTCCACCGGCCCCTCATTCTCCTCGCGTCCGTCTCGGCTGTTGCACTCCAACCTGTCTGTACCCTCTGCTTGATTCCCCAACAAAGAGTCTTTCAGTGGTTCGCAGTCTCTTTTTGGTCTCACCACCAGCTTTCCCGAGTTCTCTTCATTTAGCTTTCTGTGCTCCTGGTAATGCTGCCGAGACACCTCATTACCATTCTTTGGACTCTCAGTGAGTTTTGATCCCTTTTTCTGATTCTGCTCGTTATGGCCATCAGCATACTGCTGCTGGTACTGGTCAACCCATTTAAGCAACCCCGATCTTAGCGAGGACCGGTTTTCCTTGAACCAGCGAACGATTTCAGTTCTTGTGAGCCCAGTCTGGGATGCTAGCTGGTCATACTCTTGTGGTGTTGGCCACTGGGTTCTTGCAAATGTACTTTTCAGTAGATGAATTTGCTCCTGGGTTTTCTTAAGTGTGGCAGAGGATCCTGATAAAGCACCGGGGAGCTGGGAGCTGTTCATCAGTTCCGCTTGGTTTATTGCACCATTAGGAGTTCCTTGTTCCTTAATTTTTCGGTACGATCCCATTGAGTCCAAGACAGCTTGCTCCATGCTGTCCCTTATCTTTCTCCTCTCGGAGAACCAGGAATCAATCTCTCTCCTGCTCAGCTTCGTCTCCACTCGAAGCCTGTCCAGTTCTCCCTGGGTCGGAAAAGAACATCGTAGGAAACTCTCCTCAAGGGCCCTAAGCTGCTCTTGGCTTTTCTCTTTGAACCTTTGGGGTGCATAATCTGCATATGGGTGGAATGAGCGGCTGTGTCGGCCCAGTGGAGGTGCTATTGGATCCTTCCCTAAAGCATCACCAGCGACTTGCACGATGCCCCGCTGACTTCTGTACCTGTGGTCACTGAACCACTTCTTGATCTCGCTCCTGGAGAGCCCTGTTGCCTCTATCAGTCGATAGACTTCCGCGTCATCGGGAAACTGGCTTGCTATGAAACTGGCCCTCAGCTCTGCTATTTGCTCCTTGGTCTTTTTTCGCTCGCTGGCAGGTGTCAATGGTACAGCAGTCAGCTTGGCAGGACTCTCAGGCACCTGAACTACATGGGGTCGCTTGGCCTCTGGGATGTTTGACAGGGTCTGTATTGTCCTCTTTTGTCCCTGGTTTGGGGCAACAGCAAGTGTGATTGGTGAACAGGAAACTGCTGACCCATTTGAAACGGGAGTTAAAACCAGGCCAGTCTGGCCCAGTATCTGACAAGGCAAAGCTGTCTGTATGATAGGAGGGGGAATTTTTGCAGTTGTCAAAGGAGCTGGCAGGACAGTGATGGTTTGGGGGACTGCCTGGATAGTACCATTGAACATCTTCTTTCTTGCCTCTTCTACTTCTTCAGGTGACCAGCTGATACCATGCTTCAAACGTTGCGTAGCAAACCAGATTCGGATCTGTTCTTCAGGATGCTTTGATGCTGCTGTCAACCACGACAACTCTGCTTGCGTGGGGTAAGGAAATTTGTTAAAGGAGTTGATCATGGTTGCATTAGTGTCCAGTGCAGAGTTGTATTTGGTACTGTTCAGAGGTACCGGGACCTTGGGTACAAGGTTAATATTTGGTGGTAGCTGTACAGAGGGCATAACATGAGCTAACACATCCTGGAGAAGGTCTCCATTTATACATGCGATAGCTTCAGTGGCTTCAGTTATGATGCGGGGGAGAGAACCATCCACATGGTTTTCTGAAACTCCCTCTTCTGGCTTTTTGGGACCCTTCTTGGTTTCCCCTTTAGGCTTTCCCAATTTCATCATTGGTGTTTTACTCACACTAATTCCCCCATGAAGTGAATCCTCACACTCTGCACTTTCCACCCCACTGCTTGTGACAGTGACGTCATTAGTGGTGGTCTCAATGGACTGCTCTAAAACAGTCTGGTTATTGCGTTTAATTAATTTCAGTTTAAAGTTACTCTCTCCGGGGTGGTACTTTGTGTTGTGGTCAGATAAAGAATCATATTTTTTGGTTGTGAAGTTGCATTCAGCGCAGACATACAGGGGGTTGAGAATGACATTCGGATGCTGAGTGTCAACATGCTCTGTAAATTCATTTAAGTTCTGTGTAGAGTAAGGGCAGTATTTACACTCATAACCACCCTGGGGTTTCTTAGATGGATTTTCAGCAGAGGGCTTAGCCTCGACCACTTCACACTCTTTCACTGAGCTTTCTGAAGGCCAAGTTTTTTTAGCATCCTGCTGTGGTGTGCCAGGCCCCTTCTCTTTAGCAGTTTCTGCACCCTCTGGGACTTCCTGCTCCATCACTTCAGAGGTTCGCACCATACAGGGAGTTGTTGACTTTCTTTTGCTAGCCATGGCAGCCCAGGCTGCGCTCCCAGAAGGTGACTTCTATGACAGGTTGAGCAATAAACTGAAAGATCTTGTGAACGGTTCCAACCTTCCTTCTTCACTTGACTTTTGTTTTGTTTAATAAAGGATTTCAGCCCCAACTGTGACCATCAGCTCACATTTGCTGCGTGACACCTGTGAAACAAAGCACACCCATTAGGCACTGTTCTGTAAAACATGGCTCTTGCAGAAAGCCACCACTCAAGATAAGTGCATTTACAATACCATTTTGGACAACACTGAACTCTTTCCTTTTGCTACTCTCCCCATCAACTTAAGAGGAAAAATCTGACCACACAGAATAAAAGCAGTGGACAATTCACAATGAAGTGTGCCACAGGTAGAAAGGGGCTTTGAAACAAACAGGGGAAGCTGAACAGACAGGAGGTTTTAATCTCCATGAGATTCAATGCATTTAGCTGGAAAGGAAAGCAGACACTGCTATAAATACTATATCTTTTTATAGAAGCTGCAGTTTCTATTAATTATTATTTTGAAGCATGTAAATTTGAAATTGAGTGTGATTATTAAACTTAATTACTTCCCACTGTCACTTACCTTGTAAATATGTCTAGTAAATGATTGTGGTTACTAATGACGGGTGATTTCTAAATAAAGCTATGGGGCTTGCCTTGCTCATAAAAGTGAAGGCAGTGAGAGGAGTTAATGCAAATCAACATTTTCAGAGGTCTGTGTCTTGATTAAAGCAGATCAGCGGAGGCCTATCAAGTCTCTTCAGGAATGAAAGTTTCCTTACTACTTATCACTGAATACTGATTGTCAGACAGTTAGCAAAGGTCCAAGACACCCCCAGATCACTTTTAAATAGGGTCCCTTCATGTGACCCTACCCATATTCCCATCAAGTCCTGATCTGTGCACTTAACCGCCTACAGAATTAAACAATATTTTTAAAGCATAATTCACACACTAAAGTGGTTTTGGAGTTCCAAAATGTAATAATTCCATCAAAATATGTATTCTTAAGAGGATATGAAGTTAGTATCAATCAGTATGACCACAAAGGAAGAAAAACCACACTGGCTGTGTTACGATCTACCCATGCTCATAAGGACTGAGTGGACAGAGTGTAATTTAATAGCTCTAACAGTCTTATCATGCAAAAAAATAAATTGATATAACTCTCCTATTTGACAAGATACCTCTTCTAATGATTCCTTGACTCTACTTTGCTACTCTTCCTGATCAGACAGGCTTGGATCTGTAACACTTCCAGGCTTGATGGGAAACTCATTGTTTGCCATCCATGGGATGGGATATGGTGGGCACCAGGGCTTACAGGCTGTCATCGTCATTGCCCAAAGCATCAGCACCTACAAGCAACCCATGCTTTGGGTTTCTGCCATCTCTCTCTTAAAAAAATAAAATAAAATCCCTTTTAATAATAAGCAAGTAGATGAACAATGGAACAAGTGATGCCTGGTTTTCTGCAGATTTGTGCTGACTGACCTTTAAACTGGATTACACTGAATATTCTGTTATTTTTACATATTCCTTCAAAATTCCCCTCTATTTCCCTGCACAATTGTCCTCCCACAGAGTGTTTTGTCTGAGGTCTATGGCTTGCTATATCCCACTGCAGATGTGATCAGAAACACAAACACCCAACTGTCTGAACATCCTCTTCCTACCCACTCATTTTTAATGAAGTTTGCAGAACTTCAATTATCTCTGATGCTTCTTCCCTTGTATCAGATCTGGCTGAAATGGGTCAAAAGGTGAAAGAAGGGTGCAGAATCAGCTCCCTAAGCCAGGCTGCTGCTGGAAACAAGGCGCACCTCCTTCTGCCCTGCAGATCCCACTGCACTTGTGATGTTGATGTTTGTAGACAATGGAAGGAAAGTGCAATGCCTCATTCTGGAAAACAGTGGTAGGGATGAGGATGGAGCACAGCTCCCTGATGCTCTTTTGCTGCTCTGCCACCCAGGCCATGCTGCTTCACTGAATGGTCTGCTCCTTTTCTGATCTGTGACCTTCTGCAAAATTCATGAGGCAACATCAGCGAAAGAAAGAAAGTCAAAAGGCATCAAAGACAGAGCAAGATTTATTTATATTTCACTATCACCCCCTTCTTACCGAAAAAAAAAAGTAAGAAAAGGCTAAGAACAAAAAGATAAAGGAATGGGATGGAAGAAAAAGAGTGGAGAAAAAGAACTATCTAGGTTACTGCACTGGAGCAATCAAATGTTTCTGAAAAATGTTGAATGTGTTGACTTTCTGGAAGCTCAGCAAGCTCTCTGCCTCGTCAGGTAGCTGTGCCAAACTCCCAACTCTCATCAGGACATGGGGATCAGCCTCAAGCAAGGATGCTCTGACACTAAGCAAAGGCCAGGCTCTCTCCAAAACACGCATACAATGGTGGATGGGTGAAAAATTCTGTCTGCAACAGTTTTAATAGAAATGTTTACACACAGTTTCTTTTTTATGGCACAGTGTTTTTCTATATTTCTAACTGCTTTGCTAACTCTATGCTGAATAGTTTTTCTGCCACACAGGAATCCTTATCCGCCATAGCGGATAGTTTTGGAAGTCAAGAACAAAACAAATGAGTTCCAACTCCAGATGTGCTTGTTTTCAGAAAGAAAGGGTTAGGAGACCACAACCAGTCAAATCACATTTGTTCTTCAACCTCAATTCCTGGAGCTTCCTGAAAGAGGGGGAGGAAAGTGAGGCCCAGCAACCGTGTGAGTGAGGAGTTTATTGAGACCTCCAGGCCACTGTCCTCTGAGGACCTCACTCCAGATAAATCCATGTGAGGTTGCTCTGGATCTCCTGGTTAGTTCTAGTAAAGAACATGGACCAGCCATACCACAGTTCTGAGAGACAGGCAGGGTAAACACACAGTGACTGCACAAAACATTGGGTTTTACCCACTGGTGGTTGGTCCTCCAGTTAGCAGTGACTCCCAGCATTTGTTGGGATACACAAGATACCCCACAGCAGCAAGCAAAGCTTAGCAAGCACCATGTCAAGGTAGGAACACAAGTCACACTTCACCACCTAGCCCATGTTCACTATGCTCCAAGGGACAAAATACACATCCAGTGCTCAATGAATTGGGCTGCACCAGGGACAAACTTCTCCTGGCAAACTCTGTCGCTAAATCCATAGGTTGGATTTGGGCTGCTGTCACTGCAATGCATGGCTACAGACGTGCTGGTTGCAGTTTTCCCAAGCCTGGAGAAAGGCAGCCCTTGCCCCTGCAGCTGCCCTGCCTTATCTTCTGTGAGGTTTGCCATGCTGAACAAGGTAAAAGAGACTATAAAAAACAATTTTCATTTTATTGTTTTAAATTTGAATTTTTGTTTTTAAATGAGCAGATGCACGAAGCAGCAACAGGCAGCCAGGTTAAACCAAAAGCACTCGCCTCCAAGTGTACAGCTGCCTTCGTGAACCAGCTCCAAAGCAAACCACAAAGACCGTCTGCAGCAACAGGAGCTTTCGGTTTGCTTTGCTTCTGCAAAGCAATCATGATGGGAGCACGCAGGTCAGAAGCAATGTGTTCTTTTCAGCATCTCTGCTCAGAAAGTACAGTTATGAGAGAGGCCCCAGCCTGGTTTTGTTTAATTTCCAAGAGCTAACAAATGAACCCAGCCACAGCCCTCTGATCTTTCAAAACCCAGCTCAAAGGGCTCCAGAGCATCAGGCAGAAGAACAAAGTGGCAACTCAGTGCTGACTTGGTGCATGAGCAGAGCAATGCCAGATCCCCTTGCTGCTTGCCTGGCTCCCATGCTGGGAAACTGCAGAGCACCATGCAGAGAAAATAAGCCATAAGACAGGTCTGCCTGTCACTGGAAAAATGTCTGCTTGGGTAGCAATGCCATCTTCCAGCAGAGAAAGTATCTTCTGCCTCTATGGGTTTCTCAAGTGAAGAAAGTTCAGGTAGTCAAAGAACTTTCACCTAGTAAAGCTCTAACTGTCTCAGTGCATTTGTCAGTTCAGAGTTGTCATAAATAAAACCCCAGTGCAACCTGCACCAGTGGTACTAACAGGACCAGAGCTGCTGGTGTGCACTGGCCTTACAAACAGCGTGGTTCATGTAAACAGCTGGAAAAATAAATCACAAAGCTTTCTTGTGCTGGACTTTGCAATCTTTTCACATCCTCCTATCTTTTCCTTGTGCCTGTACACACTTCTATACTACTCCCTTAACCAAAAAAAAAAAAAGGGAAAAAAAAAAGCAAACATTCAGATAGAGGCTGAACTCCTTGTTGTTGAGCGGTTCCCCATGGGCTTTGGTGAAGGCTATTCCAAAGATGAGGCATGTCATATAAAAAATGCAGGGAAACCCTTAACTCCCACATGAAGAGAATGCCACTACTTCACATGGCACCTCACTTCCAGGGCTGGCTGAAATGGATGTAAAAGAGACTGGAAGGGTTGAAACCCCTACTCAGAGCAAATGGATCTCCACTGTTCTTGGATATACTGTGGTTTTGTTTTTTGTTTTGTTAATAAAAAAACTTATAGTGCTTGTGATTTTCTACCAAGTCCTTTCCAGCTAGGACACAGGACACAAGTCCCCATGGTCTGGAATATTACCCTTCCTTACCAAGTAGCAAATCAAAAACCAGTTGACTACTACCAATGCCATGCTTATGGTTTGGCTCAGAGAAGGAACTGCTGCTGCTGCACAGCCCCATAACCCCCTTATGGCCTTTTACTCCACACCTGTGGAGGCTGCTGGCATGGGAAAGTGCATGGTATAGCAGCTCTTCTGCTCTTCTGCTCCCTGTCACAGAGGCCAAACTCATAATCCTTCACATTGCAGTAATATTATTCTCCTGCAAATGCAAGGTTGAGAGATGATAGATTTATTTCATGGTGCAATGAGGAACATGCCTCGGGTGATGTTTTTCCTGCCTTACAACTGTTTTTAGCTTGCAGCTGCTGCAGCACTATCAAAAAGCATATCAGCTAGCACAGCAAAAATGCTGTTGGTCTCCACTGTGACAATACACTTAAAAACACTGCTTAATTACATGCAGGAAAATAAGCAGAAGCAAACCAGGGCAAATAATTCCTGCATGATGGATCAGGGCTGTAATGATTCACAAAAGGGAAACCACAGAAAGAAAGGAAGGTTTTGTGAACTGCAAAGCCGAGCTTTTAAAAAGCATTTAAGTTTGAGCAACCGAGAGCTCTAACTCTTTCTCTGCTCTTTATAAGCTGAGTAAAACAAAATTGATGGGGAGGTATACAGATTGCCACAACAATAATTTTTCGAAACCTGAAAAGATAAATTTGAAAACGCTATGCGTTTTCAGTTCTCGTGAGCTGCTGTAGACATTTCTAATTAGAAAATAACCGTGGCAGGTGCCACATACGATGGCAGTGCATGTGATGGCCATCAACTTTTGCCTATGTGGGAGAAGCAATTTTTCTTTCTTTTCACAGGTGAGTAGCAAAGCAAAGTGCCTCCAGGACTTCTGACTCACATCAATACAACTTGTGGAACTGGATGCCAATACCTCCGCAAAGTGGGGCAGATGCAAACATGATGCATGCCCAGCTTGGGGGAATCCGTGCCTGCAGCATGGCCACCAAGAGGTTCTGAAGAATGCATGCATAAAACACTACACACAGAATACTGAAGGACTGTGGGTGGGATGAAATGCCTCAAAAGGTGCTAACAATAAGAGAAAAGCCTGGAGAGCAGTGAGCCAAAGCCAATTCACACAAATGCTGCCTTTTTGCATTTACATCTCAGCTTCTATTTAACCACCATGTAGAAGAAAGACATGGACAAATGTATTCTGGAAAACACAGGTGTCCTGGAGAAAACCTCAGTAAGCTTTCCTAGATCAAACTGTGTTAGTCAGCATCCTGCTCTTGACGTATTTCAGATTATACTGTTCACAGTGTATTCACTGAACTAAAATGCTCACTTTCACACTGCTGCAAAGCCAAAGAAATGGCAAAAATTGTGGGTTTTCTGTGCTGTTGGTTGTATGCATGTAACTGGCCAATCCCATCCAAGAAATGGGTGAGTTGAACATTGTGTGCTGTGAATTTCTATTTTAAGTCTTCATCTGCATACACTGGCTTTTTTTTAATTCCTCTTTTTAAATGCAAGTTTAGGTTTTCACCCAGAGAGGCTGTGGATGTCCCCACCCTGGAGGCATTCAGAGCCAGGCTGGATGGGGCTTTGAGCAACCTGGTCCTGATCTGCAGCAGGAGAGTTGCAACTACACGATCTTAAGTGTCCCTTCCAACCCAAGTTTAGAATCATAGAATCATTAATATTGGAAAAGACTGCTAAAGTGACCTAGTCCAACCATCAACCCATCCCACCATGCCCACGTCCCTTAGAGCCACATCTACATGTTTTTTTAACACCTCCAGGGACAGTGACTCCACCACTTCCCTGGGCAGCCTCTTCCAACTACTCACCACTCTTTTTGAGAAGAATATTTTCCTAATATCTAACTTGAACCTCCACTGGCACAACTTGAGGTCATTATCTTTAGTCTTATCACTAATTGCTAAAATCTGGTTTAGGCCTGATTTTAGCATTTTTGCTCTCTAGAAAGATTCTAGATAAGAATAACCTACCCAGGAAGAAAAGCACCATCTGGTTCAATATTTATACTGCAGCAACATTTGCTTGTCCCATTTAAGAGACAGGTTTTGCCTTGGGAGATGTCACCCTCCAGTGCTGATGGGATGGGGCAAACCCAATGAGCCTGTAGTCATGTCCTGTGCCTGTGGTGGAGATGAGAAACACAGCCAAGATGCTTCACTTCCTGGCCACTGCTTCTTCCTCTGGAATACGAGTTGGCAGCCTACAGCTTGAAGACCAAATGGGGCATGTGGCAACCATCACTGGCGCAGAAAGGCCAAATCTCCTACTGGTTGATGAACTTGGCACAGCCTGGGGAAAGCCATTTTCCTTCATAGTATGTACTTCTGCCAGAGGTTTTAGGGTCCTACTGGACATATGGCTCTATCCATTGGAGTCACCCAATGGACACCAACGTGCTTTCTGCACATGACAAGAAGGGACCTAAAATCCCTGTGGTGCCTATGGTTGCCCAGGGTCAAAACTCAGAAGGTGCCAGTGAGTGTGTCCTGTGGCCTTGCTTTCTGCCTGGGGAAGGAAAAAATGTCAAGTGGCCTCTTCCAAGCAACAGGGCACATGAATCACCCCCAGAATGCCAATGGATACAAGAGCAGTTGTTCAATACCCGCCCAGGGGTAAAGCCTCTTTCCAACATCCTCCATCAATGGTTTCCAGAGGCAGTGAGTTCCAGAGATTAGTCACGCACTGTCAAAATTATCTCCTCTCATCAGCAACAAGTCTGCTTGTAGGGTGGGTACTCACACATTCATCAGAGAGAAATAAAAAGCAACAGATTTCTTAAGAGAGAAATAGAGACACCATAAAAACATTCATTCTAATTAGTTTAATTACTTGTCTGTGCAGCTCCCTGAATTCTCCTCACTGGAGTGGATTAAAGTTGCTGGATTTAAGTAATTTTTCATACTGAGTTTTACCCAGCACCATGTGGTGGAAGGGCAAGAAATTCACAAATAAAGAACAAAAATTATTTGTACACAGTATCTTCAACTACATGGCCAAAATCTGCATATAGCCACATTTGATTTTACATATTAAAACTGGACTATTTCACTTGAATATTCAGGTAATTTATTATTATATTATTGTTATTCTGAGTTATGCATTAAGCAAAGGGTTCCTTATGGGGCTAAAGCTTTGCTCAAGCAACTTCTAGAAACCATTTCCCATTTGTGCAGGTTAAACCTCTACAGCAATGTCAGGTCCGCTTTCTACCTCATGACTACTAGGCAATTATGTATTATATATATTAATATAGATTTCATATTTTATTATGCATTCTTTCTGTTCAGACTTAACGGTTGTTATAGGGACACCATCAGTTAAATGTCTGCAGAACAGGAAAAAAACAGGTTATTACAGAATCAAAGCATTTAGTTTCTTTACACACTTGCAAAACTTAAATGACAACACAGAAGTTTTCCTGCTTCAGGACTTCAGGACCTGCTCATCTCCTTCAGCAATTAATCCTGCCCTGGGAATCACAATACCCAGCCAAGCATCAAATTTTTCAAGTAAAATTAAGGCACTTGCAAACATTTTTGCCAGTGAATTGCAAAGGGAAAACAAAAATCACATGCGCATACTGGGTGTTCCTTTTGTAAGACTTCAGGACAGAAATGAACTCTAATGTTATTAAAAATAAAGTTTTAATTTATCAAAAAGCAGTCCCTAAATCCCACTTCTGGCACAGGCAGCACACATCACAGCACAAAAGGGAAAAGTGCCCAGAGGACCTGACAGAGGGGAAGAAAAGTGGGCTGAGGGCAGGAGACGGATGGTGACCATTTCTCAGCTGGGTTTAGATTTACATTTGAGGGAGAGAGAGAAAGAAACCTGAGTATCAGGGTGCTGAGTCTGAATGACAGACACTGACTTACTGGATGTTTGACCAACACTATGTGTCCGGCACGTGGAGCATCCCTTGGATCATCCTCACCCAACACAGCAGCAGCACTGAAGGAGTCTACGGAGTTTCCAGAAGAGAGGAAGGAGCTCAATGAGGAACACACAACATTAGTAACCTGCGTGTCTTTAGCTGCACACCTCCCTCTTTGACTCATTCAAGATGTGGTAGAAAAACGCAGATGGTTTGTGATTTATAATGCTGGTGACTCACTGCACCTCTTCCCTTTTCCCCCACCCCCAAGGGCTTCTCTGCGTATCTTCACGTTCCCAGATGAGGAGATCAGAGGAGAAAACGCTACAAACAGACTGATGTAACATCTTCCTCCCACGGAATGACTCTAACCTTGCCCCCTACACCATGCTGTTCTTCTCTCCTGCTCCCATTTCCACTTTCACTTGCCTATGCTCTATCAAACTCAGTGGCTATCACTTCACACCTTTCAGACTGACACTGCAGTCTGAACCTTGGCACTACCACAAAAGGCTTCAGAACAATTTCCCATTTTACAACATTAGGTCTTAGCTTATAATCTTAACACCTGAAAATATTCATAATCCAAATGGAAAGTCCTGAGTTACAGTGTCATAAGTTACCGTGGATTTTGAGGTACAAAGCACGTGACATGCACAGTGATGAACAGAAATGTTCTACCTTGAGATTTCCGGAAGCAGGAACTTCAACACGCCTTCAAAACCAAACCACCCCAAGAACTGCCAGCCAGGTTTTCACAGAGCCTGGACACTCAGCGTCCTCCAGACGAAGCCAAAGGATGTCAGACAAACCTGATGCTCCAAACACTTCCAGAAAGCGCCAACTTTAAGCAGATGAAGAGTCAGCTCTTGGCCCAACTCAACGGTTATCTATGGTTAGATACTCTAATGAATTCAGGAGGCAAAACTCAGGTGACCCACACTGAAATGGCACATATTGGTCTGGGGGTGCAAACAGACCCCATCACACATGCTTCTGTCAGGTTGGCAGCCCACGGTCACGTGAGATCAGCTGCTCACTAGCCAAGTTCAGGTGAATGACCCTAAACTGCTGGCAGGTGATGGAGTTTGTTTCCTAATGTGGATTTCTTCTTAAGAGATTTCTGTGATACCGATGAAGCACTGAGACATCTTCTTTTCCCCAGTATTGCTGGCAAAATACAGTTTATTGCTTAAATCTGATGCAACTTCTTCTCTCCAACCATAGCTGGTGCCCCCTCTCCAAACCGAGACAGAGACAATAACCCGCTGTAAGATCAGCAGGTCACCTCTCTGCCATTCCCAGCCACGAGAAAGGCATCACAGACTGGCTTAAATTGGAAGGGACCTTAAAGATCATCTAGTTCCAAGCCCCCTGCTGTGTATCTTGGTGTACATAAGGCTCACTCTCATCCTGTCACATCTTAAATTTTCAAATGCTCTACCTGTTTGAAGGACCGATTGTTTCAAGAGAGGACTCACTTTACACCACGATAAAATGTAGTTCCTCTTTTGGAGGTTTTTCTTCTCAAAAAGGAATCACATGATGTCGACTATGTAAAACAGGTAGCTTTCCTAGGTTCCTTCCCCTCATGCCTTGGGTAGTTAATGACCTACGGTGTTCAGAGGATCCATCAGCCCACCGTCTGGCAGCCTTACAGTTGTTGAGGAGGAATCCTCACACTAGGGCTGTGAATTGAGGCAGCACCATTATTCCCATGGCTCAGATGGGCAATTAAGGCATGAAGACATTGTGGCTGAGGCTTCATTAAATGGCCAAGCCAATGTACTGCTTGGTGCTGTCAAATGCAATAGGGTAGAGACAATGCAAGAAATCATGCCCTACCCAGGATCATGTGGAAGTAAGCAGGGCTGGAAATCACACCCAAAATGTCTGTGCTCCAGGGTACCGTTCCATCCTTCTGTAAATTCAGATCATCCTCTCGACTCACAAGTTAATGATATTTAACAGCCTATGCCAAAGCGGCTGGGACTTTTAGTTTAGATCCCAGTGAATGAGTACCAAAGTCTCAAAACACCCCAACTCTCACACCCCAGCGGACTCATGGCAGGAAGCAAGCATCTGAAGATCAAAGGCATGACCTACAGACCTATGTGTATCTGCCTTCCCTTAGAAACCACTCATCAGGCCCAACAGCAGAGACACCTGGCTCTGCATGTAGGCTGCAGAGAAGCCCTCTGCTTCTGATGGTGCCAAGCCTCCCTCAGTCCTCACACAAGCTGAAAGTGTAGAGGAAGCTCTTCTGCAGCTGCAGAAACACATGGCTATCCAGGCTGCAACAGTTCCTCCTGGTCTTCCTTTGCTTGAACGTTACAGCTCTCACTCTTCCTTTTTCTTTTTTGGCCAAATTCTTGAAAATCCAATATTTTAGGGGGGCTGTTCCATGTGACAATGACCTTCTCATGACAACATCTCATTCAATATACTTGCTTTCTCTTGCTGGCCCTGGAAGCCCTGAAAATCCTGAAGCTGACCCATGCCTGTCCCAACACCTTTCCGTCAAGGACAGCCTTTCTCCTGCTATTGTTAATACAAACTGAGTGTTCCTAGTGTGTATCACATCATCCTTTAATCAGTTCCTTGGTCAGCTCTGAGGTCAAAAACTGAAGGAGTGACCCTCTATAAGATGCACAGCCACTGTTTTCCATCACCATTATCACACATCATGTCTGCTGAAGTTGTTTTATTATACCTGCTGTCTTGTTGAAGTTGTTTTATTATACCTCTGTCTTTCATCTCCTGCAATTCCCATTTAGATCACTTCTGCACATCATTTCCACCTTTCTGGCTTCCATTTTTACCTCAGCACTTTGTTTTCAACATGTATTCAATTATCCCACCCAAAACTCATACCACATAAAAGACTTTGCTTTAGTATAATCCTATGTGTGATAGAGACAGAGGACCTACAACACCTTCAGCAAAAGAGGTAAAGAGACACTAAATAGAAGACTCTTGCAAACATTTGCATGCATCCTCTTCATAGCAGCCCACAAAAACATTTTCCCTCAGTTTACTGGGGTTTAGGGCATCTAATACTAGACCAAAAGCCACCTGTCTATCATCAGAAGCCAGCTGAAGCATCACTGATGCCCCCGATGTCTATTCCATCTAAAGCTTAAAATTAATAGTTGTTTGGATCTTAAGTTATTCATGAAATAACACATTCTTGTTCTGTACCACCGTTCTAACTTGTCATCCAACTAATATGCTAATATGCAACTAATAACCTTGTATTAAAGATGAACATTTATTTTCTTGAGGATAATCACAGATTATACATACAACTCTTCTAAGAAAACCCAAGCACAGAGTTAAAAGCCTTTCAAACCCGTGCTAACTGATGGGGAATGGGCCTTGCTCTGCGCTACACTGAGATTACAGAGAGTATGTGCAGTTTACTCAGTGTCCCTCCTGGTGCCTACCAGGCAGGATAGCAAAGAAATGCATTTTGCCCCAGGGATCATGGGACCAAATAGAGCTCCTTTTCCCTTTCCCCTGCACCCTCTGCTGCTCTGATCTGTCATAGGACAGAGCCACTGCCCTCTGCACACTGCAATGCTTTGCTGTGCCTTGGCAGGGCCACAAAGGACCTTTGTTCACGCCAGACCCTGGGTGCACAATGCAATCCTTCCCCCTTGTCACACACTGCTGGGTTTCCATGGCTGGGTCAGAAGCACTCCCCCCACTGCAGTGTTACCTCCTGCTTCCCATGGCAGCACTGCAGAATGGAGGGGACAGAGGAGAGTCAGGCACTGCTTTTTGGGGCATGAATTCTGCAAGCTCCAATGTGACGAGCAGCACATGATAGATCTGTGAGTGCCCGAGCTCTGCCCTCAGTTTCTTCTTCACAGGACTTTTGCTACCAGGCTGCTGCAAAACCACCTGAGTAAGACTCTCTGACTTCCAGGTATATTCTTGTCCTCCAGAGGCCAGGAATATAGCAGATAAATTGACCTAACAGGATTCCTCTGAGTCACATTTCTCCATTTGCACAAAATCTGCCAGCCTGTGTGTGTGCGCCAGTGCAGCAGGGCTCAGAATGCAGCCCTGAATGCAGTGAGGGCAAGAAGTGTCCCAGGGTTGAGGATGGGAGCTCCAGGAAAAGATGCCAATGTGGGGCAGTGGAGGGCGAGCACAGCCTGAGATGATGCTGCTGGGAAGGAGTAGGATTTGGCAGCATGGGAGTGTCTCTGTGTTTTCATTTCACTGTGAAATATGAAGAAGAGATGATTGCTGGATCACTCACAAATTATTTAAAATCAGTTGAAAAAAAAAACAGTGCTTCTTTTTGACAAAAAGCAGAAGGGAGTGAAAAGCATTTCTGGTAGGAAATGAAGTTCCAGAAGACCTGATCGTGTACTAAATACAGTCAAGAGAGACACCTGGAAATAGGATCAGACTAGCACGATCCACACCTTCACAGACTTCTGCCACAGAGAGAGCATAGAGAAGGACACGCTTTGTTTCTTCCATTTCTCATTTCAAACATCACAAGATTCAGAACAAACCAGTCCCTATTTCCAAACCCAACTCTGATTTGGAACAGCCAAAGTTCAGATGCTTTGGCATCTGCCTGGAACGTCCTTTACACTCCCAAACCACAGAGGGACAATGTTTCACCCAGACAGATTATTACTTGCCAAGGAATAAACTGTCAGTGACAACAAGAAGAAAGAACTGGCAAAACCTCCCATTCATTTCTTCCTTACCAGTGTAAACGTGTGCCATCAGGACACCTTAAGCATGATGAAGCGTACTTGACAGTTACCTCCTCCTGTCTCCTCCCACATGCTTTATTCCACATACTCCCTGTTTTCTGCACAGAGTCATTACAAGTATTGGCCTTTCTGACTTCCTTGATCCCCCTTGGGCTGCTTCATAGCACGTCCAGATGAACAAATTGTAACAATGCTTCTTGAGCAATACTTCAGAACTGCAGAAGAGGGGAACCACTCATTACAGCGACGTCTTACTGAGGAATATTTGTCTAAATCCTCTTATGTTTTTCATCTGGGTTTTTTCTTCTCCTGTTTCTGGTGAGTAGGAGGGATCTCGGTTGAAAAAAAATCAAGGCTGGTTTATACACATGAAAAACATCTCCCTGAGGGAATGTGTCCCAGTCGCCTCTTACAAGGTCAATTGATTATTTCATGTCGCCTTTTGGCACGTCAGAAATCTCCTGTTGAGCAATTCTGCTCCAGTAAAAAGTCTCTGAAGAATTTATTTTTGAGTAGCTTCTTACACATAATCGATTCTCCCCAAAAGCAAGAAAATCTAACCACTGTCCTCCAAAAAGATGACAGCAGAACGTAATGCAAAGAAGCCATAAGAAGGCAGAAGCACAAAACCAAGAACCAACTTGTAAGGCACTCCTGCTGCTCTCTGCATCACTGGAAAGAAAACAAGGCCTGAGCTTGTGTCTGTAACATCCCGTAAGCCTCATTAGTTCTTCTCTTTTTGTACAATTTAAGCTTCTTTCCATACCCACCTCTACTTCTTGCTTTAATCCCCGAAGCTCTCCCTTGCTTGCCTCACTCATGGATTACCTTCTTGCTCAAATTTTCAAAGAAGGCCAAAGAGAAGTCAGAAGGAGAGCATTAACCCATGCCCACACCCCATGGCGGGCGCAGGCTCCGGCCCTGTCTGCAGAGGGATGGTGTGGCAGAAGTGCTAAGTCTGTTTCCAAAAAAAAACACTGTGATTTGGGCAGCTCTTGCTGCCTCTGCAGCCAAATGGAGATGGAAACCCTGCAAAACCCTGAGCACAACCATCATGGAAAGCATTCAACAACAGCTCATAAAGTGTTCGTTCCACAAGAACCCCAAACTTGAGTGTTATTGCATGGTGCTGGCACTGAGATAATCTCCTCTCAGCCCATGCATGCTAACAGCAAAGTTCTACAAGAAGTTCAGACTCACATCTCCTCTGACACAGTATGTTACCAATCCACAGTGCTGCCTACCAGGGCAGCGTGAAAAGCAGGAAAGCGGCCAGAAACAGGTCTGCAGCAAAGCAACCAGAACATGCTCTCATTCCCAGTGACTTCAGCAAACACTCCTCCCTCCTTTCCTGTGCTGAAAATAGGCTCCAACCAACCAGTCACTGACATTCAGTGAGATGCTGATGTTCAGGATTTGTTTGCCAAAACACGTGTGCTCCTTCCAGGGGAGGAAGGAGAAGAAAAAGATCCTTAATGGCATCATTTCAAAAGCCACTGATTTTGTGACCTGCTTGCGTTCACTGAGTTCATCTCACAATTTTACGATGTCTGTGAAAACTTCTCTCTTTAAAACAAATAAACAAAAATCCTGCTCTGAGCATTGGTGCAATGTGGCAGTTCTTGCCATGGCAACACATCAGCTCCAATTGTGTATTTCTGCATGGACCTCACTGCAGAACAACGCAGGGTGGGGAAGTAGCACGCAAAAAATTTCTAGTGGTTGAGGCCAGCCTGGCAATCCCACCACCAGGACATGAAGGGAAGGAACCTCAGCTAAAACCACTGAACACGCGCTTGGTCATTTGCAGGTTGGTTGATTTGCTTGCTTTGTAAAGCATGATCCATGTATTTTGTTTCCCAAACAGCACGGAAAACTACCTTTGCAGCACCAAAAGGCAGCAGAATTAAGGAAACTGGACCATGCTCCCAGATGGTCTGCACATACCACATAAAGTGCAATGTCTCCAGCCTGAGGACACAGCCCAGCTCCCGTGCTGCCCCTCCGATGGCACTGCTGGATGTTGCACTACTAGTACCGACCTGCTGTGGCTTCAGCACCCATTAAACACGTGCTATGCTTTCAAGCTTATCTTCGCAACCACAAGTCTTCCTCTGACACAGTCCCCTCTCCCTAGTCCTTTAATGAGTACTTTAGGAATTCAGCACCCTGAGACATTTGCGGGAGCTGAGACCTCCAGGCACATCTCATCTCATTCTTCAAGCTACTATCTAGCCAAATTCTTTGTGTAACTGCTCAGGATCCAAACCTGGCACTCAAGCCAGCTTTTTCCTCCCTCCCAAAAGTATTCTCTCTCCATCTTATCACCTTCAAGACTGTCCTAACTGCTTGGATTACCCAGGCTGGAGCCATATAGATTTATTTCTCCTGAGGCTTTATGTGAAAGTTTAGTTGCACAACAGTTTCTGAGGTTCAGGAAAAACTATGTTCCACAGTTGAAAAAAAGGCAAGAGCTGATGCTGTTGTCTGCAATCACCCAACCCCAAAACCAAATAAGGTGGGAAGAGAAGAAGCAATGGTCCAGTGGTTAGGGTTGGGTCTGACACTCCAAGGAGTGTTCAAAGCATTATCTCAATCAAAATTCCTTTTCATGATCTCTTTTTCTCATGGAAGGGTCACTGGAACAAAGTGCCCAGAGAAGTTGTGGATGCCCCATCACTGGAAAGTGTTCAAGACCAGCCTGGATGTGGCCTTGAGCAACCTGGTCTGGTGAAAGAAGTCCCTGCCATCAGCTGCGGGAACTAGGTGGTCATTAAAGTCCCTTCCAACCCAAACCATCCTCTGACCTGCCTCCTTTCTAATGCCTTTTGTCTTCTTCATTCCCACCAAAACATGAAGGGGTTGAATAAGCTTGGGCAGAAGGAACAGGGCAAACTACTCACATAGCTCCTGCTCTATGTGGCCTTCAGCAATGCTCCCGAGTCTCTGGGGAAGAAGGGTGCTCCTGCCTTGGGAGGCAATCATGCCCAATATGACACGATGCATCCAATTCCTCTGGTATCACTGTGGCCTCACATCAATAAATTAAAGAGACTGTTATGAGTCATCTCATAACATACTAAAATAAAGGGAGTATGATGAAACGTAACACAATTACACACAACACTGCTGAGACATTGGATCTGGCTGCTGAAATCAGTTCCCAAACCCTTCCAAATACTGAAGTACACATCAACAAGCTGCATCAAAACCATGCCAGGTTAGGAGAGGACCGGCAAGAGGAAGCAGGTCACCCTGGCTTGAGTAATCTGCAGAATGGAGCCAGTGTCTAAATGCTCAGTGGCCTCTTTTACCACTTGCAAAGGCTCAAGCACAGCAAGCCTGTTTCCTAACAGTGAAAGGTGGCATTAACCAGAAGTTCAAGGGTTCTGTCCATAGGACTTCTGTCTTAACTATTGTTGCACGAACGAGTTAAGCGTCTTAACATTAGGTCTAGAAAGATGAGTGGACAAAGGGCTCTCTGTGTTCTTCTCATCCCTTCTTTTTAGTTCTAGATCTTAGTCTTTCAAAACAAGGATAGGACAGATTTTACACCTTTTGTAGAATAAATTAGCCTAAATGCTGAAGTCAGTCTTTTTGGACCAACATAGATTCCACCAAGGCAAATCAGTGCTGTTGGATTCATCCTTTAGGAAGGATGAATGACAGCTACTGTGGCATTTCAAGTTTCTTCATTGGACAATTTCGTGTTGGTATCAGATGGCAAGAACAGAAAAATGCCACATTCCAGACTGCCCAAAGATACATTTCAGTGCTTCAAAAGCTGAACAATGGGATGGCACAAGCTGTGGGGTTACAGAAGACATCCTTCCCTGTCCACATCCCAGGAATGCCACCCATCCTGTGCCTTGTCCTCCGGACATTTAACCCATGCACAGGAGCCTGAGATGGGATCTAAGCCCCTGTGGTTCAGAGAAACCAAAGCACTGCCTGATGCTCGCATAAAAACCAAATCCAAAACCACACATGGCAGAAATCCACCAATAGCATACTAGGATGGGAAGACAGCAACAGAATGATCTGAGATTTTTACCAGTTCTGAAGTAAGAAATCAGCGTAGTGTTAGTGAAATATAAGCCTTTCCTCCTTGGACAACCCTGTTTCAACATGCAGGTGCACACATGCTTGATGCATATCAAATTATACAGTAACAGCACATGCCATCACTGTTTTTGTAGAGAGTAAGTAGTGCCAGGAAAGAAGCACCTTTGAACCCAGCCCTCTGCTTCCAGTCCCAAATGACTCCAAAGAAGGGGTGTCTGAAGATGTTCAGTAGAGGGTCAGTTTTACTCACGAGGTAGGAGAGCTGTAAATCAGTCACTTTAAAATAGAATAATAATAATGAAAAAAAAAAAAAAACCCACCAAGAAAAATCCCTAAGGCTTTCTGGGAAGAAGTAAAATTGGGGGAAAAAAAGGTAAAGATGAAAAGCACCTGTAATCTCTTTAATGTGGCACTGAAGTTCTTATGAAGAGAAAGCAAAGAAATGATAAGAAAAGGAAAGAAAGGAAAAGAAAGCAGCCCGTTGACAAGTAGCTGCAGATGTGTTTTTCTAATGGGCAATAGGTCAGCAGGGCATTTCCATCTGGCCTGCTTAAATCGGAGCTTTGATGATGTTACATATATGATTTCAATACAAATTTGATCTTCGTGGGGTTGAAAGTCTATTCTATATGTGTGTGTGCATGTATATCACTGCATGGATGATAGCAAAGGGCTTTCCAGTGGGGAAAAAAGGGTAATGATGAAAACAGCAGGGGTTGGGTTACACCTTGGCTGTTTTTAGGGTTGGGTGGGGGAAAGGAGAAGAGAAAGGAAGAGGCAGCGACGAAAGTCCTGGACAGAAGGAAACAGGAGAATAACTAAGGAATGGCTTTGTCCTCAGCCTCCTACACCCTGCTCTCCACCTGAACCCAAGCAGGAACTACCACACTCCCTCACTGCTGCCCATGCCCACCTCTGCTCCCAAGGCTCAACAGCTTGGCCAAGGCAGTGATGGTAAAACACTGTGCTCCATTTTTAATGGTGATCTGTATCTATACAAAGATGAAAAGACACCTTAGGCATCCTCTTCCAAAAAGACTATGAAAAAGGAAAGACCACGAATCTACATTGTTTTCTTTGATGTTCCACAGTGCTTTTCCAATCTAATCCAATAATGACTGTGTAAACAGACTGGAGCCTGTACGAGTTCCCAGTAATTCAGACACTTGCCTAACACTAATGAAGTTAAAGAACGTTCACAAGGAGCAGAAGTCAAGGTTTGAAGCACAGATTAGGCACAGACTGAGCAGATTTGGAGTCTGGCTTTTAGAAAACCCTACACTACAATCTCAGTAATCTCTTAAATTTAGTTAATGCAGGCTTAGGATAGGTTAGCAATAATTAGATGAGACTATACTTTCTCTTAAGGTGCATAAGATTCCCAGAGAACATCACTGTTTGCGCTGGCATAGATTTGCTGTACACTCAACTGCACACAAAACGTGGGAACACGCAAATGCATTTAATCAAATTGATCATAGGAAGCCATAAATTGTAGCAAGAACAAATAAGGAGTTAACAATTTCTGATGGTTTTACTTTGCAAAGGGCAAGACAGAAAGGAGGATACTTTTTTTTTTTTTCAAATTTAATTTCACAATCCCTGTAGATTATATTCCAGGAAATTACTCCGTTATGTGAATACTGTTACTGAATGACATTTTGGTCCCATTATCTCAGACTCCTCTTGGCACGTGTGTCAGATGTGATTCACCATATGTTTAATGACATGCAACACACTGGTTCAGATATATCCTACTAATGCAACCAGCCAAGAGAGCCTCTATTTTCTTATGCTTCGTGTTACAACTTAACTCAGAAATGTCTCAGTTAGTCACACAGTCCTCATCCAATTTTAAGATCTCCCATGTAGATTTATGGAACTTTAAACAACAAAAGAAAACCTCTCGAGGCAGATAAAACTGCTTTTCATAAACTTGAGAAAGACTGAATATTATTTAACTGTTAGCACTGGGAGTATCCTAATCCCAATACTTTCTCCAGCATTTTTGAGCTATTCTTGTAGAAAGACTTCCCTGTATGATATGATGTAGGATTTTTATAGTGAGACTGTTTTCCCAGACCAACAGTTTTTCCACAATTCCAGTTTGAGCACTACAAAAACAAACAAGCAGCAATCCCTGCACAAAGAGTTTACACTGTTTCCTTCCTCAAAACAGAGTTAGGAGGATTACCAGCTGTAAACTGCTTTGAAGGTAAAAAAAAAAAAAAAGGAAAGAAAAAAAATTGTGTGCTAAATATTGCTGTCCCCATGAGTCAACACAGACTCCTCAGGATGCTCCACTAACCATTTATACTATGATAAAAATAGTAATTTAGAGCAATAAGCTAGATGCTTTACAATTGGTGGCTCAGGAACAACAAGCAGCACCAAGTGTTACTGTCTGTGATTTGCCTTGCAGGCAAATCTGCTCGAAGGTTAAAGCTAACAAATTTCCACTCATTCACTCAGATGTTTTGCTCAGTCCCTTTAGCCCAATGAAGGCAAAGAGCTGAGGGTACTTCTGCCCCACAGAGAGCACAGAGCAAGTGGTGTTGGTGCCCACTACAACTCCAGGACACATGGAGGTGTCCCACCCACACTGCCCTCACCCTCACTGCCCTCACCCTCACTGAGGCAAACAGGACAGCCTGTTCCTTTGCTCAGATATGTGAGGTGATATCTCAAAAGGAAAGCACAATTAGATCCCACTGAGTCACCATCACTGCATCTGAAGGTGTGTGCTTCAGGTAGACATAGAAGAGAACACTACACCTGAGCATCGTGCTACTGATGCACCATGGAGCACAGTGGGGCTTTCAGGAGAAACAACATTTTCAATTCTACTGCTGTCCATTGATGAAAGCAGAATGCATGGGTTGGGAGATGCGTTGCAGAAGGGCGATGTCAGAAACAGGAACACAGGGATTGTACTGTGTACTTCACCAGCTAAACTTACTGGATTTGGCTTTGATTATCTGGCTCTGAAGACTTGCCATTAAATGCACTGGGTTGAGAAAGCAATAAAACCACGCACAAGCAGGACAGGAGGACAGCTGGGTTGCCCAGAAGCTGTGCAGCATGCTGTGTGCAGCCGAGCAGAAGGGGATCTGCAAACACAGCCACGGCACAAAGCGGCAGCTTCAGGAGGAGGTGACGAGCCCTGGCAGAGACCTCATACGGGAGGGGGTTAAGGGAAATCCCAGTCACACAAAAGGCCCCTGTCGCAACCCAGCTGTATGGAAGTCTCCACCACTGCTCACCGCATCTCTGACCATGCTGCACTGTTGCTGCAGAGTGGCACTGAGTTTATCTTGGGGGATTTATTTTTGTCTGGTTGGTCTCATTGAAGCTGTTCTCCACTGGGAAGGGAGATGTGCAGCACTGTCACCTTGTGCTTACTGCAAATGCACAGCTTTCCTTGTCTGCTTCCTACATCTTTAACCCTCCTCTGACATCCAGCAAGAACACAGAATAGAACATCCTGATTGGAGAGCACCCAAAGGGATAACTGAGTCCAACTCCTGGCTCCACATAGGACCACCCCAAATCCAAACCCAATGTCTGAGAGTGTTGTCCAAACACTTCTTTAACTCCTGCACCTTGGGGCCGTGCCCACTGCCCTGTGCAGTCTGTTCCGTGCCCACCGCCCTCTGGTGCAGACCCTTTCCCTGACCCCCACCCGCCCCTCCCCTGACGCAGCTCCATGCCGTTCCCTCGGGCCCTGTCGCTGTCACACAGAGCAGAGCTCAGCGCTGCCCTCCGCTCCCTGTGAGGAGCTGCAGCCGCCATCAGGCCTCCCCTCAGCTCCTCTGCTCTGGGCTGAGCACACCCAGAGACCTCATCTGCTCCTCAGTCCTTGCCCTCTAGACCCTTTCCCACCTTTGCAGGCCCAGGATTTGGTGGCTCCGTACCACATCTGGCTGCCCCACAGCCTCCCCACCATCTTAGCACTCATCCAAGACTCTCGTCACAGTCATCAGTTCATCTGAGTGACACAATTACTCAGCCAGACGTGGCTGGAAGGAGATACTCAGCCATCCCCATGAGACACAGAAAATGTACACTTCGTTGCTTTTGAAGCTTCTCTTAGGAAGGGAAGCAGCACAGCTTCTACAGTAGCAGACCCAAGCACAACTTATGGCTGCAACAGGCAGTGCTACACATTACCCTAGAGCTGTGGGATGCTCAGGTTTCTGCCCTTTTTATATTGTGTTTAACATAAAAACAGCCCCTATAGAATCACAGAAAAACTTAGGCTGGAGAGGACCTTAAAGATCACTGAGATGGGGATTGGGGCCATATCACTGACTTGTACCGGGTGTATGCATCCTAAACTACTAACAGGCATTTGGTCTCACTTTGCTTTGGGTATCCCTGTCACTGCAATGGCTCTGAGCAATGGGGAGATGCATCCTTTGTGCCAGCTTGGACCTTTTTGCTGGCTTACTTACTGTGAATTGAAGCCCATATAGCACCTTGCATTGTGGCTCAACCACACGAGGAGGCCAAGCTGCTAAGGCTGTGCCAGGAACCTGGCAGTTGAGTTCTCTTACTGCAATCCACATTTGCAGCAGAGCTTTTATTTCCCTTTGCAAATAATGTTTCAGTTTTTTTAGGGAGAGTCCATGAGACACATCAATGGAATCACAACTCCCACTGCACCCCTGGATCACATTCGGGCTCCTTGAGACAGCCACCAGCTGTCAGAGAGGCTTAAACAGAGGGATCCCACGTTCAGAAACATGGGATGAAGAAGAATGCTTTAAAGAACTGTTTAATGCACTATTTGCAATACTACAGCAGCAACAATATTATCACTGAGATTAGTGTTGCTATATAGCATGACTTCAGCATAAATAGGAAGGAAAGCTTTATGTCTCAGTGCTGTGCTGCTCAGCCCCATCCCAGCCTTCTGGGAGAGTACCAGTGCCAGGGACCTGGAGAGGCATGATGGAGATATGCGATGCACTACCTATAGTTTCAGACTCTTCTGCGTATGTCAAAACACTGAACAGCTTTCCCCTCCCTCTAGGAAACAAAGGTGTTATTTTCCAAATGCCGTTTCACTACAAGATTAAGTGATGCGATGCAAATGGAGACAAAGTGTGCAATACTGGAGTTAATCAGAGAAAATAGGAGCCGGGAGGGAATCCCACAGGGGTGACACATTTATTTCATTATTATACCACAAATGACATTAAGTGTCCACCGAGTCCCTGAAGGCAGCATTCCTGCATAAGAAGCAACCCCACTCACCAAGCACAACTGAACCTGCGACCATTCTATAAATAAAAGGTATTTACAAAGAGAGCTGTTCAATATTTATTTTTCTCTAGAGACCGAGTTCTCTGTTCATTTGTGTCTGCACAGCACCGGGGAGCAGAGGAGCTCACCTAAAAAAAGACCAGGAACCAGTCCAGGGACTGGCCCCAGCACCAGCCTCCTCCACAAGCTGGCGAAGAGAAAGCATCCAACCTTGCATAGAAGAACAGGCAGCAAACAAAATGGGCATGAGCTCATCCGGCAGGCAACGGTAGAGCGAGGAAGTCCAGCAACAAAGCGGCATTTAAGAAATGCTACCAAACCCCGTCCTCATAGAGCAGCTTGGTGTTAAGCATTAAAGAAGCGACAACCTTCAGTTGTCAAGTGTAACTGCAGATTTGCATTACATTTGCTTTGTGTCTTGGGAACACGCATACGTTTCTCACAACTAATGAATTACAGTGATTTATTCGGTTTTCTCCTTTGGGAAGCTGACAGTTCGGGGGGGGGAAGAAAAAAAAGCCACCAAAACCTGTGGCTCTGAATACACTTCACTGCTAACCCTTTGTAGGAGTGTTTGTAATAGTTTTTACTCCGGCTTGCCAAAAGCTGAGTTTTAATTAAATATTAAAAAGCTATTTGTTAAAATAACGTCTCCATAGCAACTGGAGAAAGCTAAAATACCCCGGTGTTTCTGACTCACGGCATATTAATCAACCTCCAGCTATTATATCATGAGCACCCCCCCGCCAGGCCCTGTGCCCCCCCAGCGGGGCAGTGGCTCGCTGCTGGACTCTGCCCCAGGTTCAGCAGGGCCAGCTCCTGATCGCAGCCAAGCATGGGAGCCATGAGCTCCACTGCAGCTCCATGTCTATTTCATAGAGTATCGCAGAGTCTTATCACAGAATGGCTTGGATTGCAAGGGACCTCAAAGCCCACCCAGCCCCAACCCCTGCCATGGGCTGCTTGCCCCCACCAGACCAGGCAGCCCAGGGCCAGAGCCAACCTGGCCCTGAGCACCTGCAGGAACGGGGCACCCACAGCTCCTCAGGGCAGCCTGTGTCAGTGCCTCACCACTCTATAAGTGAAGGGTTTTTAAAATTGCTGGGGCCTGTCCTGCAGCAGGTGCTTGCCTACTGCCAGGCCCCGTGTGTGGAGTTGAGTCATCAAGGACCCAGGCAACCTTGATTTGAGGAAGTGGAAGCAGAGGCAGAAGCGTGGCTGCATGGCTCAGATGGAGCCAGGGACAACCTTCCTTCCCCCAGCAGCTTCATTTTGCTCTTTTAGCCTCCCCTCTGCTCATCTTTTTCTAATGGAAAAAAAATACCTAATCGCATAGTTATTAATCCAAGGGAATGTGATGAATATTACAGCATTTGTACGCCAGCGTTGGTTTCCTGCTGCTTTGTTTGGGTGTCACAGACTGTGACTATGACAACCGCAAGCAGTTATTGGACTGATGTCATTTGTGACATCATGCTTAATGGAAAAGAAAAGGAAGAAGAGACACGACCAGAAATACAAAGAATGGAACAAAACCTGCTTTCTTCTCTTTTCCTCACTCCTCCCAAGCCAGGTCCTGGAAGATGGCTGCACTGGGGCTGCTGGAAAGCTGGAACAGCTCTGGCGTTAGCAAAGCCTGGGACGTGCTGAGCACTGAGGAAAAGCTGCCCCCGGCTGTGGGATGGACGTGGATCTGATGTCATATGGAGGAAATCTCCTCACCCTCTCCTGGCTGAGGGCCGAGGGCACCGTCCAGAGCCAAAGCCCTGCACAGAGTGCTGCCACACACTGCTGGCATAGCTTTGCTTTGCTTTAGTACAAAGTGTTTGTAAATTCACCGCTCAAACTCCAAATAACAAAAACCAAGCCTGCAGCCCTCAAAACCCATCCAAATCATATGTGGCAGAGAAGGGCTTCCTGCAACAAGAATCTCCTTCACAACACACGTCCAGAAGTTCCATCAGAAAACAGTTCATTTTTCCAAGCTTTTTCAATCCACAAAACATGCTTCTTTGCCCTCCACACTCCCGTGCCAGACCTGCCATGTCTCACCAGCACTGATGCTGCAGCCTGTGCTGGCATCTCCTTGTCCCCTGCACAGCATCCCAGTGCGGAACAGGTGCCACTGCTGTGATGTGTCTCCCTCATAGAATCACAGAATCGTTTGAGTTGGAATAGACCTTTAAAGGTCATTTAGGCCAACCCTCCTGCAATGAACACCTACAGCTAGATCAGGTTGCTAAGAGCGCCGTCCAGCCTGACTTTGAATGTCTCCAGGGACAGAGCATCCAACACCTCTGTCCCAGTGCTCCACTGCCCTTATTGTAAATTCAGTCTGTCCCTTGCAGCAGGACAGTGTCTTTGAGAGCTGCCACGTGACACAAACTCTCTCCAGCAGGCAGGTAACACTCTGTGAGTGTCAGGAGATATCTGAGGGTGGATGGAGGAAAGCAGAAAAGCAAAGCAGCCTTCTCTCCCTCCTCCTGCCAGCACACCTTTACAGGCTGAATGCCCAAAGCCTTTTGCAGGACAACACCAGAGAGCAGAGATAAAGGAGATGAGCTCTTCTACCTCTGGTTTCACTTCCACCTTTTTGTTTCTCAGTTGGCATTGCCATGCTGCAGCCATCTCCCTCTGCACAGTTCCTCTTGGCTTTGGTCAAACAGCCTTTCACAAGCCAGAGCATGAGAAGACAGGAAAATGGGAATTTACTATCTCCTTTCTCTGCTGAACAACGATGCATCTCACTGCAATAACTTCAGAGTAACATCTGAGACAACATGAGTTACCTGGGCAGCTTCCAAGCAATTCTGCTTTATCTCTCACCTGCTTAACACAGCCATGATATATCAGAGCTCCTGCATCGCTGCTTTGCTTTGACTTAACAACACAGACAGCATTTGCGTGGCACCAGCACTCTGCCTTTGAAGAGCTTGAGCACAGCACAATCAGGTCCCCCTGTTTGCTCCTCTTGCAGCAGTGAGCACCGTGCGGGTGCATTCGTCAGGACTTCAGAGATGCTTGCAGAGCAGAGGCCAAATTTCAACACTGCCTACTTAACAGAGAATGAAACATCTGAAAGCAAACGTTGCCTGAACAGCATTCCTAATGTACGGAATTATGCTATACAACATGCTACACAGCACCTTTCTGCTGAATGCATCTTTCTAGCTCAGTCTCTACTCATCCCATCTCTCTGCAGCCAGCACAGTGCAGAGAACGAGGCCAGAGTCCCTCTGAGCGATGCTTTGTAAGCGGCTGACAAGAAATAAACCCACAGCTTGATTAGCAGCTCTCCTGTGGCAGCTTGAGCACC